AGACGAGGGGGGGGGGAGAGACAAAGGCGGCCGTGCGTGGCTGCCCAAAACCCCGCGTGGTCACGTGACGGTGTCTGGACGCCTCCATGGAGCGCTGCGTCTCGGTGACAGCACTTGCCCCGAAAGCCTCTTGAAGCTACACGGGGGATCTTTGTCTGTGTGTGTGTCTGTGTGTGTGTCTGTGTGTGTCTGTGTGTGTCTGTGTGTCTGTGTGTCTGTTTGTGTCTGTGTGTGTCTGTGTGTGTGTCTGTGTGTGTGTGTGCGTCTGTGTGTGTGTCTGTGTCTGTGTGTGTGTCTGTGTGTGTGTGCGTCTGTGTGTGTGTCTGTGTGTGTGTCTGTGTATGTCTGTGTGTGTGTTGGGGGAGCGGTGGCGCAGTGGTTAGCGCGCTGAGGTGGATCGGAGTGTCCCGGTCCGATTCCCAGGTCGCGGCCGAGTGATCACTCTGGAGCGGGGTCAGGCTCTAAAACGTCTATTATTGTTGTTCTTGTTGTTTTTTATAAGTAATATAACATCATCATCACCAATACCATCGCCACCATCAACACCATCACCACCATCACCACCATCACCACCACCATCACCACCATCACCACCACCACCATCGCCACCATCACCACAATCACCACCATCACCACCACCAACACCATCACCACCATCACCACCATCATCACCAGCACCACAACCATCATCACCACCACCATCACCACCATCACATCGGTATTTATATGTATTATACTCTGAACTGGAATTTAAAATGGTCCTTAATGTTATGGAAATTAAATTATAAAACGTATGACGGTTAATTATCAACACTCCAACCCGCCAGCCACTGCTATATGCAGATTCACCCTCACCACTGTATTTGACCTTACATGTGCGGTGAGTCTGTGGGTCTCTGTGTGATGAGTCTGTGGGTCTCTGTGTGGTGAGTCTGTGGGTCTCTGTGTGGTGAGTCTGTGGGTCTCTGTGTGGTGAGTCTGTGGGTCTCTGTGTGGTGAGTCTGTGGGTCTCTGTGTGATGAGTCTGTGGGTCTGTGTGTGGTGAGTCTGTGGGTCTCTGTGTGGTGAATCTGTGGGTCTCTGTGTGGTGAGTCTGTGGGTCTCTGTGTGGTGAGTCTGTGGGTCTCTGTGTGGTGAGTCTGTGGCTCTGTGTGGTGAGTCTGTGGGTCTCTGTGTGGTGAGTCTGTGGGTCTCTGTGTGGTGAGTCTGTGGGTCTCTGTGTGGTGAGTCTGTGGGTCTCTGTGTGGTGAGTCTGTGGGGATCTCTGTGCGGTGAGTCTGTGGGTCTCTGTGTGGTGAGTCTATGGGTCTCTGTGTGGTGAGTCTGTGGGTCTCTGTGGTGAGTCTGTGGGTCTCTGTGTGATGAGTCTATGGGTCTCTGCGTGGTGAGTCTGTGGGTCTCAGTGTGGTGAGTCTGTGGGTCTCTGTGTGATGAGTCTGTGGGTCTCTGTGTGGTGAGTCTGTGGGTCTCTGTGTGGTGAGTCTGTGGGTCTCTGTGTGGTGAGTCTGTGGGTCTCTGTGTGGTGAGTCTGTGGGTCTCTGTGTGGTGAGTCTGTGGGTCTCTGGGAGGTGAGTCTGTGGGTCTCTGTGTGGTGAGTCTGTGGGTCTCTGTGTGGTGAGTCTGTGGGTCTCTGTGTGGTGAGTCTGTGGGTCTCTGTGAGGTGAGTCTGTGGGTCTCTGTGAGGTGATGTTTAACTTCAAAAGCTAAATATTCCAGTTACTGTGAGTTTGTTGTGGGTTTGATTATTTCGTAATATTTAACTTTTTTAATGTTTTTTTTGGAGTGAAATTTTCAGTAGAAGTGTGCGTGTTTGCTAGGATAGAGCGTGAGATATTTAATTTGAGTTAATTGTATTAGCCGCGATGAGGAGAGACCAGTAAATAGCACCGACACACTCACCAACTCACTCACCAACTCACCCTCTCACTCACCAACTCACCCACCCACTCACCCACCCACTCACTAACTCACCCACCAACTCACCCACCAACTCACCCACTCACTCACTAACTCACCCACCAACTCACCAACTCACCCACTCACCAACTCACCAACTCACCCACCCACTCACCCACCCACTCACTAACTCACCCACCAACTCACCCACTCACTCACCAACTCACCCACCCACTCACCAACTCACCCACCCACTCACCCTCTCACTCACCAACTCACCCACCCACTCACCAACTCACCCACCCACTCACCCTCTCACTCACCAACTCACCCACCCACTCACCCTCTCACTCACCCACTCACCCACCCACTCACCAACTCACCCACCCACTCACCCACCCACTCACCCACTCACCCACCCACTCACCAACTCACCCACCCACTCACCCTCTCACTCACCAACTCACCCACCCACTCACCCTCTCACTCACCAACTCACCCACCAACTCACCCACTCACCCACTCACCAACCCACCAACCCACTCACTCAACAACTCACCCACTCACCAACTCACCCACCCACTCACCCTCTCACTCACCCACTCACCAACTCACCCACCCACTCACCCACACACTCACTCACTCACACACCCACTCACCCACTCACTCACCCACCCACTCACCCTCTCACTCACCCACTCACCCTCTCACTCACCCACTCACCAACTCACCCACCCACTCACCCACACACTCACTCACTCACACACCCACTCACCCACTCACTCACCCTCTCACTCACCCACTCACCAACTCACCCACTCACTCACCCTCTCACCCACCCACTCACCAACTCACCCACCCACTCACCAACTCACCCACCCACTCACCCTCTCACCCACCCACTCACCAACTCACCCACCCACTCACCCTCTCACTCACCAACTCACCCACCCACTCACCCACACACTCACTCACTCACCCACCCACTCACCCTCTCACTCACCAACTCACCCACCCACTCACCAACTCTCACCCACTCACCCACCCACTCACCAACTCACCCACCCACTCACCCTCTCACTCACACACTCACCAACTCACCCACCCACTCACCCTCTCACTCACCCACTCACCAACTCACCCACCCACTCACCCTCTCACTCACACACTCACCAACTCACCCACCCACTCACCCTCTCACTCACCCACTCACCAACTCACCCACCCACTCACCCACACACTCACTCACTCACACACCCACTCACCCACTCACTCACCCTCTCACTCACCCACTCACCAACTCACCCACCCACTCACCCTCTCACTCACCCACTCACCAACTCACCCACCCACTCACCCTCTCACTCACACACTCACCAACTCACCCACCCACTCACCCTCTCACTCACCCACTCACCAACCCACCAACCCACTCACTCAACAACTCACCCACTCACCCTCTCACTCACCCACTCACCAACCCACCAACCCACTCACTCAACAACTCACCCACTCACCCTCTCACTCACCCACTCACCAACCCACCAACCCACTCACTCAACAACTCACCCTCTCACCAACTCACCCACCCACTCACCCTCTCACTCACACACTCACCAACTCACCCACCAACTCACCCACTCACCAACTCACCCACCCACTCACCCTCTCACTCACCCACTCACCAACCCACCAACCCACCCACTCACCAACCAACTCACCCACCCACTCACCCTCTCACTCACCCACTCACCAACCCACCAACCCACTCACTCAACGACTCACCCACTCACTAACTCACCCACCCACTCACCCTCTCACTCACCCACTCACCAACCCACCAACCCACTCACTCAACAACTCACCCACTCACCAACTCACTCACCCACTCACCAACTCACCCACCCACTCACCCTCTCACTCACCCACTCACCAACTCACCAACCCACTCACTCAACGACTCACCCACTCACCCTCTCACTCACCCACTCACCAACCCACCAACCCACTCACTCAACAACTCACCCACTCACCAACTCACCCACCCACTCACCAACCCACCAACCCACCCACTCACCAACCCACCAACCCACCCACTCACCAACCAACTCACCCACCCACTCACCCTCTCATTCACCCACTCACCAACCCACCAACCCACCCACTCACCAACCCACCAACCCACCCACTCACCCACCCACTCACCCACCCACTCACCAACCCACTCACCCACCCACTCACTCACCCACTCACCCATTCACTCACCCACTCACCAACTCACTCACCCACTCACTCACCCACCCACTCACTCACCCACTCACTCACCCACTCACACTCGGTTATCGTTGCTATAATTATGATGACAATGTCGTTATTATCATGTTGCTGTTGTTATAATAATATAAGTTTTTGATATAATATCATGTTGTTGTTTTTATAATAATAATTATTATTTTTGTTAAAACGAAGCGTTCGTCGGGTGGTCGAGGGGAGTACGATGCAGCGGTGACGTCACAAAGAGGTTAGACTCGTCACGTGATGTGTTTTGTAAGAGTGAGGGGGGGGGGGTTAATCGATGGACCACGAAGTTACTGAGGCGGAAGTCCCATTAAAGTATCACGGGTTTGATAAAGTGTGGTGTGTGGGTGTGTGTGTGGGTGTGTGGGTGTGTGTGTGGGTGTGTGTGGGTG